CTCCGTCTGATTCAGCATAGGGGAGGGGCTTCTGTCTCCTGTTTTGGCAGGTTACCTTAGAAACAACAAGGAGACTGCTTGAAGATGGGCAGGGCAATGTGAATCTCTGCCTGGAAAATGACTGTGGTGGTGCCTCCTCTTTCACCGATCCTTTCTCTCTACTCATCCTTTCTCTCCATTTGTCAGGTCGGTAGATGATCCACTATGACAGGCGATGGTGTGTGTCTGGTGTCAGGCACTGGCAGCAAGTGATATGACTGGGCTCCATATTTGGTATGCCACTGGAGGTGTGGAAGAGGGAACCGGGAATTTCTGGGTTGGAGCCAAGAGCCAAAGTGTCAGCAACTGGTAGCAAACAGCAGTAGTCCCTTGCAGAGACCATATTGCGATGGAGGCTGTTTGCTGCGTGGGACTGGCTATAGTGGCCACCGCCCATGTAGGCAGCAACTGCGGGTGCGTGTGGAACTGACTTCAGGAGTCACCTTTTATGGAGATTGTCACAGTTCAGCTTGTCCCGTCGCCATCTTCCACTCTTTTCTTATGTTACGCAGTTTTTGAAGGTCGTCGCCCTATCGTATAAGACATTTCTTCAGGATGATTCCCCATGACTCCAAGTACTTTTCCTTCTGAAAAGGAAGTTTGGCGATTCAGATGAAAATTAACTTTCCCATTTAAGAGAGTCTGTTTAGTGAGTACAGCGGGTCTGAGCCCCCTGGGAGCACAGACACCCACGCACACCTGGCTGGGCCAGGAGAACCCAGGCAGCACCGCACCCAGCCCTGCCCAAGTGCGGGAGCCACCACTGCCACCAGTCTCTGTGATTTTAATGAATTCAATCCTAAATCTTTCATGTTAGTTTTTCTTCAATTCACTAAATATTTATTTATTAATATATTCTGCCCCAGAACATCTGCAGAAAATATAAAAATGAATATAGAGAAGTTAGGTTTTCATTAAAGATAAGTATTTAAAGCACTTACCCAGAAATAATGGTAGTATCCTATCTACCCAGTACAAGAGTACACTCACCTCCAGAGCTGAGAATTACCTGCTGTTTTCAGGAGTAGACAGTCTTTGGATAATTCTTCGAGGTTCTGAAAGTTTGGTGAACTTTCTCATTGATTAAACCTGCATATGTCTTTGTTCCACCCAACCGTGTACCTTTTTTGCATTTGCTTTAAGTAGAAAAAAAGTTTGGGTTATTTTTCTTTACTATAGTTTAAATTTGTTCTTTGCATTTTCCTTTTCATAGTTTTATTGAGGTATAAATGAAATACAATAAATGGGACATATTTAAACAGTAAAACTTGATGAGCTTCTGACATATATGAGCACCTGTAAAACTATCACCATAATTAATGAGCATACTCATTAGTTGCAAATAATGTTTCCTTATGACCCTTTGTAATCCTTCCCTCTACTTCTCCCTGCCCCATCCAATTGTTCTAGCACCATTTATTGAAAAGATTGTTTATCCTCCATTGAATTGCTTTGACACTCTTGTTGAAAATCAATTGACTAATATGCAGGTCTATTTCTTACTCTTTACTGTGTGTCATTGATATTTATCTGTCTTTAAACCAGTTTCACACTGCTTGACCATTGTAAATTTATAAAAAGTCTTGAAATCTGGCGGTATTACTTAACCTAAGTTTGTTCTTCTTTTTCAGACTTATATAGGTAATTGTAATTCATTTGCTTTTCCATGTATGTTTTAGAATAAGTTTGTCAATTTCTACAAAAAATCCTAGTGGAGTTTTTATTGGGATGCATTGAAGCTATGGATGAATAATAAAGGCATTGATATCTTCACAATATTAAATCTTCCAATCAGTTAGCACAGTATAGCTCTCTATTTATTTAAGTCTTTCTTAGTTTCTCTCAGCAATATTTTGTAGTTTTCAGTGTTCATCTTGCACAACTTTTTTCAAATTATCTGCTTGTGTATCACATTTTATGCTATTATAAATGATAATTTTTAACTCAAATTTGTTTGTTGCCAGTATATAAAATCCATTTGATTTTCTTATATTGATCTTTTGCTCTGAAATCTTGCTAAATTCATTTATTAAAGTAGCTTTTTGAAAGTGAATTCTATAGGATTTTCTCCATAGATGATTATGTCATCTGTGAAGAAAGAGTTTTGCCCTTTCTTTTCCAATATGTTTACTTTTAATATCTTCTTTCTTGGTTGCACTGGCTAGAATCACCAAAGCAATGATGAATACAAGTGGCAAGAGTGAACATTCTTGCATTTTTCTTAATCCTGGGTGGGAAAGCATTTAGTCTTTACTAGTAAGTGTGATATTAGCTCTAGGTTTTTCATAGATGCCCCTTATTGAGGGAGGAAGTTACTTTTTATTTCTAATTAACTGAGTTTTTATCAGGCATGTATGTTGGATTTTGTCAAATGATTTTCTGTGTCTATTGAAAGACCATATTTTTATTTTAATTAATTATTTAATTAACAGATAATTGGAATTTAGGTACAACTGACTGCATTAACATCAATTTTTAATTTTTATTTTAATTCATTTGTTTTAATTAACCAATAGTTGGAGTTTAGGCACAATTTAAAAAATCTATGTTTTTCGCCCTATTAAGGTATGTAACCAGGCTCTAAATACTATACCATGTCTCCTAACTATCAGCTGAACTATGTCTGGTTGACCAGGAAAGAGAACGTAGTAGTCAAAGATGCTTCAATAATTGCAGAACCTCTGAGATATCAAAGACATTTGGATTTTATTTTTACGCATGTGTGCAAGCACGTAATAATCATCATAAATAACATTGTTATTTATTATCGGTAGGCACTATACTAAGTACTTTCAGTTACTCTTAATAACAGCACTGTGAGGAGGTACTACTTTTTACAAATGAGACATTAACAGCCAGGCTCGGTGGCTCAGCCTGTAATCCCACGCCTTTGGGAGGTTGAGGTGAGTGGATTGCCTGAGCCCGCGGGTTCGAGACCTGCCTAGGCAGCAAGACCTCATCTCTATAATAAATCAAAAAATCAGCAGGGCGTGGTAGTGCATGCCTGTAATTCCGGCTACTTGGAAGGCTGAGGCGGAAGGATCGCTGGAGCCCAGTAGGTCGAGGCTGCAGTGGCCGGGAGCAGCCACTGCACTCCATCCTGGGCGTCAGAGTGAGACTCCAACTCAAAACAAACAAACAAACAAAAAAAAACAAATGAGATATTAAGACTTGGAAATATTGATCAGCTTTCCCAAGGTTACCTCATTGGGAAGTGTTAGAAGTAGGCTTAAAAGTCCAGATTTTCAGTTGTTTATTATGCTTTCTCCAAGATTCTAGAATAACCATGGTCTTTTGTATAGAGAACTTCAAATATGAAATATAGTTCAGCCATCATTGGGGAAAATGCACTACAATTCTTCATAGCTCACATCTCTAGTTTGTTTTACCACAGATCTTTTCATTGGGTCAACTATATAAAAGTAAAGTGGACATATTTTCTGAAATTAAATCTATGCTAATTTTAGTTTCTGTTGAGCTATGTAGATGAATTTTTTAATGATTTGTATTTATTTTGTTAAGTAATTTGATGACTAGTATACACATGTTGTTAAAGTGAAATTAGAATTCTCTACTAAATTTTCTCTAGTCTTTTAGTTTTCGGATAAACTTAAAATGTTAATTAAATTTTTGTTAATGTTGAGTAATGGTATCTATATAATAAGTCTAGCCCAACTAACCTGCTCCTAGCACTTTGTATATACATTATGCTTCTAAGAAATCTCCAACCTGGGTGCTGTGGCTCATGCCTATAATGCTAGCACTTTGAGAGGCTGAGGCAGGAGGACCATTTGATACCAGAAGTTCAAGACCTGCCTGAGCAATATGAGACCCCATCTCTACAAAAAAATATTTTTTTTTAAATAGTTTAGTGTACCTGTCATCCTAGATACTTGGGAGCCTGGGAGTGGGAAAATCACTTGAGCCCAGGAATTCAAGGTTGCAGTGAGCTATGAGTGTGCCACTGCATTCCAGTCTAGAAACTAAATCAATTTATTTATTTATCTATAATAAATTTATCTATAAATAAATAAATACTAAGAAATCTCCAAATCTGCAGTAATTTTTTTCCCAATAAAAATGTTGTTTAAAAACTTTCTCTGGTAATCCTTAAAAAAAAAACAAGCAAAATTCCTAAAAGTGACTGCCTCTGTCTATTCTGCTGTAGTCAATAGGTTTCATGTTTGACAAATGAGCAGTGTAGTGAAAGCCAACACACACACACACACACACACACACACACACTCATTCGTTGGTTCCTTGTGCTTGGTGGGGGTGGGAGAACAGTGAAAGTGAACTACATTTTAGTGTCCTCCATGTGCCAGACATTTCATCAAAACTCTGTGAGGTAGCCACCATTCTTCCCATCTTATGGATTCAAATTGCAGATTGGAAACTAGTTAAATGACCTAAAGGCAACACAATTTAAATACTACAGCTGGGATTCAGTGCCAAACCTTTCTGGCTTCCCAGACCATCATTAGATTGTGTACATTTGTGCAGCCCCTAGAATGAAGCACCTATTTCTGAATGCTGGCTTTAAAATGGCCATTGCCCCAACCATCCTTGATTTGTTTATAACCACCTCATGTAAATTAATAATTCACATGATCTTTAAGGCCCATTGTAAAAAAAACTTAGATGTCATTTAACATACACACACACAAAAGAAACAAGTTGTTCCTTTCATATGCATCTTCTAGCAATTGAAGGGAAATCTGACACTCTACCTTTTCTGTTTTCCAAGTCCAAGAGTTATTTTTTTTTCCTGAACTTCAAATTTATGAATTTTCATATGATATCATTTTATCCCTAATTTTCTCAATAAATAGTTAACCAAGCATGTAAATATGAATATTGTGGGATCAACAATGCTTATTTTAACATTTAAGTAAATGGGAAAAGTCATCTAGCCATTAAGGATTCTAGTAGGTATATTAATTTTTTCTACATTCCCATAGGTAATCTGGCACATTCTAAAACTAAAAATGTTATCAACTATCAAATGAGAACTTCAGAAAAATCAATCAACCTCTCAAAGGTAGGAAAATACATTTTTTCATAGTAGTGAGTCTAAGAATGTAACCTTTACACTGGCAATATTTGTGTGCTTCTAAGAGCAAAAAGGTTTGTTTTTTGAGTTTGTTTTGTTTTGTTTTTTGTGGGGTTTTTTTTTTTTGTTTCGTTTTCTACCTTTAATTTTTTTTTCTGTTTGAGCAGACATTTGTATTATGTTCATGTTACTGTTAGTGGCTAAAATAATCATGCATTTCTGATATATTTCTAACTCTTTTTTGTAGCTAAATTAAATGTTATACTGAGATCAACTAAAAATGTATTAACTAGTGAAAGACGGTGGCGCACAGTGAGACTCAACACCCGTTAAGGCCAAGAGATTTAATGAGTAGGAGTGAGGGTGGCTACAGGGCCTGAGGGTCAGGCTGTAGCGCAGAGGCAAGGGGGCAGAGGCTTTTATAGGGGCTTAGGGCGACCTGTCAGTCGTTTATAGGTCGGCTGGCAGAGCTTCATTTAGGTTGGTGGATTTTTCGCGGGTGCAGGAAAGGGTGAGCCCGTATTGTGAAAGAAGAACCCGGAAGGTGCCGTTTCAGACGCCCCCTTTGTTTGCCAGGTCGCCATTTTAGGCGGGGGCTGGGTTTGGGCCCCTTTCCAGGAAAAGGGAGGGGGTGTGGTTTGCTAGCGCCTGGCAGTGGCCCTGGCGGTGGCCCTTCAGCTAGGGTCAGAGATATTCACATTCTATGTAAGATCGATTAAAATTCCAATAAGACTGACAAAACCATTACCTTAAAGAAAGCATATCAACAACATTTTGTTGTTTTATGTGTTTGAATACATAAACTATTCAAACGTGTTTTCTGTAAATCATAAAGTATAACAGGTACTGAAGCATCACTATCTTCCTCGGTCTTCTTAGGGTGAAACTGGAGAAGCTACCCGTCATGCCAGAGAGACAACCAACATGAAAACACAAACAGTTGCATCATATTTTAGAGTAAGATATTATGATGTGTTGTGCTTAGGGGTGTTATTTATTCTAAATGAGTTACTAACAAATAGCAGAGTGCCATTAGCAAAAGAGAGTGTTTATTGTATTTTATTTACTATTTGGTAGATACAGAATATGTTAGTGTGTACTGCCAGATATCTGTGGATTAGTTTACTTTGATTGGTTGTATATTGGTTACCTGCAAAATTATTGTATCCCTGATCAATCTTAATGGAGGCCAATACTTTGGTTAAAGTTTTTCTATGTGTTATTAAGACAAACTGGACTCCTTTACCTGCACACAACAGAAAGCTAAACACCAAAGCACTGGGATTTTGCGGCAAGACAGTTTTATTATAAGTTGACTGGCTAAGAGACAGGAGGAAATGCTCAAATCTGTCTACTAGAGCTGGGGGTTGAATCAGATTTGATAAGCATAGGATAATGAGGAAGGACCTGATTGGATCTAATAATAAGTGATGCTGATCGGCATGATTTGATTGGATCTTGACATGAGGCAACACAAGGACTCAATCTGATTAGATCCTGCCATGCAATGTCTGCTTCTTAATTCAGACCCCACTCCTCAGTCTGAGCACTTAGGTTCCCCCTACAGTTGCATCCTCGGTTCATCTGGGCATGCTCAGGTTACATGATGTTCAACCTGGGCGGTCATGGCTACTGAAAACAACGCACAACTTTGTTACATAAAAGTTGAACCAAATTGGCCTGATACAGTTGTACATAGAACCAAATACATTTCCACTAGAATAAAGCCTATAAACATTTTTAATTTAATGCTATGGGGACTACAAATTCTCCTTCTCCCTCCTGCATGATTTTAGGATGGACACATGGGGCAAGGTTGAGCATCCATCTGCATTCCATATCACCCTGTACATACAGAGTTGAAAAACCTCAAAAGGAAAATAAAACCCAGTATAGGAACGTGGCAAGGAGAAGAATCTACCAGGAGACACAGTAACATCAAAGGGATATGCTTAGCTTTGAATCAAGGCAATTTTCCTTCCTTGGACGACATGAGAGAAAAGAAAGAAAAAATAGTTTTTCTTTATTTTCTTTACTGTCTGGAAAACTCTAGATAACCTTGCCCTTATTATTGGGTCCAGCTCTTGTTTATCTCTTCTGATAAAATCGTATTAACCAGTCAGTGAAAATGAAGAAAATACTGCTTAAAACTTGGGAGTTATTAATATAATTTAATGTGGAAGAGGTAGAAGAAATTATATTAAATTTACTTAAGTATTCAGTGAATACATCCAGTTCTTTAGCAGAATCATGAAATACTTCTTAAAATATATGAATATTTTTACTAAATATTTTTCAAGTCCTAAACTCATAGAAGACAGTGTGTGCTTAAGCATCTTTAAATAGTGCCTACTACATTTATATGCTTAATGTCTTACATTTGCTGCGGATGCATTCACTTTATATCAGGAATGCAACACAGCTGAATCACTGAAAGTATTTATAGCCAGATTATTTTCTTTTTTAATTTTTAATTTTAATTATGTGGGGTACAAGTCAGGGTTAGGTATACAAATGTTCATTATGCAGGCACCCTTGTTGTTAAGGTGTGCCTCCCCCGCCCCTGGCAGTTTCCAGTACTGTCAATTCCGCCCCTGCTCTCTCCTGGCAGTTTCCCACTACTGCCAGTCCCTTTCTTATAATTTTATGATAGCTGTTCAAGGTCTGCTTATGAGTGAGAATGTGTGATGTGAGTTATCCAAGACCATTATACCACTGTTGTTAGTATCAAACACTGTATGTACAAGTGTGTTTAAAACAGATTAGTTCATGTAATCATTTTATTCTTCAGGCCAAAGTAAGAAATAATAGGAGATAATTCCACACAATATGTTGTATGTTTTTAAAGTCATTTTTCATTCTTCAGAGAAAAATGAACAGTGTGGCATATGCCTTGGTCCTAAGAAAAACCAATGCCTAAACTACAGTAAGCTCCTGCTTAGAGTATCACCTTTGTATCACCAGTGCCTGACAGATGTTTGCATGACTAAAGGAATGATGGCTTACAGATAAATGTAATGAAAAAAGCTCTATAGTGGCAGCCCAGCTGTTTGAAAAGATCACATCCGAGTCTCAGTCCCCAAGAGGAAGCTATGCAAATTCAGTGCTTTATCATTTGCCAGTGTCAGCATTTGTTTTGCACTGACTTTATGACTATAGGCTCTTACATTTCCAACACTAAAAGATTCAGCTCTTTATTCCATACATTACGTTACAAATCCATGTGATCCTGGTCTTTGAAATGCAAGTTTTTGGGATTTCACTTTTAGTTGAACTATGATTGTCCTGATATATTTAGCTGTCTAGTAATTGGCTATTGTTGTAATAAGATATTGGAATTTAACAGTTTTACATCCATGTGATTTTAAAAATACTCCTAAAATAAATAAGAAAATGATCAAATTAGAACAGATTAGAGTATCTAAATGGATATAACTTTGCTTATTTTTGTATCTATGCCCTATATATTAAAAAATCCATTAACTTCTCTATTCTTATTTTAAACTCGGAAATGATTCTGATCAGGATTAAAGTGTTCACTTTTACATTTTCTATAAAGAGAGAGTTGAACAAGGAAATTAATATGTAAACAAGATGAATCAGATCACACACCTAAATATTGTAATTCGACAAGTTAGCCTGAAAGAATATAGTTACTTAAAAACAAACTATGTAAAAATAATTCTATCTATTAGTTAAAGTGGACTGGAGAGTTTATAAGAAAACTTTTAGTAGCTAAGTTTCTAGTTTTTGCCTTTATATTTTTGTAAGTAAATCTGTGTCTTAAAAAATATACTATACATTAAATTTTTCACAAACACAGATTTCCCTCCATTTACTGTGACTAGTGTGAGACTTTGTAACATTCATTTTTTTCAAACTTTAGTCTTGTGTAAAAAGAATGACTTGCAAGCTCATAAGTTTTTGTTGCTACCTTGAGAATTGGTTTTTTTGGTTTTTTTTTCCATATTATAGTATTCTCTGATGGATTTGTTATCTAAAATGGTGGTGGGCCAACCTCATTTTGTCCGTTGCATCAAACCAAATAATGAGCGTCAGGCAAGAATATATGACAAAGAGAAAGTTCTGCTACAGCTTCGCTACACAGGAATTCTGGAAACAGCAAGAATTCGAAGGCTAGGATACTCACATCGGATACTCTTTGCTAACTTTATAAAGCGGTATGTGGATTTCTTTTTCAATTTATATTAAAAATTCTCCAGAAGAATTATAGAAAAATATTATTTAGGTAGACTAGGAGGGAAGTATTTTGTTCATGCTAGTAATTATATATTGAAAAGAGAAGGTAACTATTAACTGAGGCTGAAAGAATCTGTCGTCAGCTAGGAGATCCTATGTGGTAGCATAGGATACCCGTCATAGACAGTATAATCCAGAAGATACATGACACAGACAGTGTACTCCAGAAGATACCGGTCATACACAGTATGATCCAGAGTATCCGGATGTCTGTACTAAAGAGTTGGAGGATCTGGGTTCTTGTCCTAGTTCTGCCACTTGCTATGTGGCCATGGGCCTATTACAGTGATTCTCAGCTGGGAGAGATTTTTCCTATCAAAAGACACTTGGCAATGGCTGGGGACATTTTGGATTGTCATGCGTGGTGGTACTACTGATATGCTAATGGACAGAGGCCTGGGAGCCATTAAACATTCATTCTACAATTTACAGGATAGTCTTCCCAAAACAAAGATTTATCCAACTCAAAATACCAACATTTCTGAGGTTGAGAAACCTGGCCTACACAGAACCTCACTTTCCTCGCCTACTGAATCTTTATCCATTTAAAAAATAAAGTTAAAATGTAGAAAAAAGAATCAATGGCATAAGAAAAAATTTTTAGTACTTGATATTAATGTAAAATAAATTAAGTTATATACTAAATATATCATATTAAGTGATACATGAGTGGTTAAGTGTAAAAGTTCAATATATTATATATTTAAATGCCCATTTTTAAATATTTTTTAATCACTTCTATAATTACTGTTAGTCATCAAACTTAAAGAAATTTCTGTTTTCAAAGGTGAAGTCTATTACAATTTCCAAGTAAAACCTACTGTTTGAGGAAGTCTCCATTTATAATGCTTTTCAGCCTTTTTCAGAATGTATAAATTACTATTCAGAACAAAACAAAGCCTTGTTTTGTGATTGCATAGCAAATTGTTATTTCTAACATTCCTCCCCTTGAAAAAACATCTTATGTCTTGTATCAGGTATTATTATACTTGGAGTAACAAGACTCTTATTAAATGTAATGAGATCTGATTCTTTCTATTAATTTTTATATTTTCAACGATTTTTGGTAGTTCTTGATTTTTTTTTTCCTTTAGAGAGACCAGGGAACATTCATTTTGAGTACACTGAAATTAGGAAAATTCTACCGCTTTTTCATGACAGAGATCAAAATTACATAAAGATCAAATATTATATAAGTTTGTGACTTTCATATAGGCCAATCCTTTATAGTAGTCTTAAACAGATTTTGAAACTTTAAGTTTTAGAGTTTAGAAATATAGCCAATATCTAATCATTGACTTCACTTTCTACAGATTAGACCCAATCTTATCTCCAAAACTAAGGAATAAGAAATATTGCAATTTTTTTTATTGGTCAGTAGGTAAATTCTTCATTCTGTTAGTTAAAGCAGATAACACAAATGTAATAGATACGAGAGTTTAAAATTTCAAATTAAAATTAAAATTTGACCTTCTTATTCTGCATTTTATGTTTTAGAAAAAGAGCAGATCTTTAACTTGCTTAAATAGTAGGATAAATATTATTAATATAATATGAATAGGAGTACCTAAAGGTAGTTAAAAGTTTCAGTGATTTTTTTTTATGCATAAGACACTGTGCTAAGCACTGTAGGTGACACAGAATTTTAAAACTAACTTGATCTTCAAGAACTGACAAACCCGTTAGGATTATCAGAGCCATAGACATGGAAAGTTAACAAGCAGTGGAAGGTAATAAATGCCAAGGTCCAAGAGAATGGTACAAACAGTGTAAGAGTTGAAGAAAGGAAGAGCATCTCCAGGAGGGCTCATAAGAAAGGATATCAGACAAGGAGCTTTCAAACTGAGATCTGATGGTACAATTTGTGGAGAAGATAGGGAGGAACCTTCTCGATGTACAGGTTAGTGTACCTAATAATAGCAGGGCTTGGATTAGTCTGAATTGGCAGAGTAGACATTGGTGAAGTGACAGAAGATGAGACACCAATAGTGTTAAAATTATGAAGAGAGAGCCTTGAATGCTAGGCTGACATTATAGTTTCAAAAATAGCAATGGTGTTACAATATGGACTGTAAGGAAGACTAAATCTACATTCTTGATGATATTGTGTTGAAAGATCAGAACTGAGAGTAAATTCTTAAGTGTATTTCAAAGTCCTGCGCTATTATAGAATAGCAAATTGTTACATGATAAATGAAGAGGAGGGAGAAAAATTAAGTATACAAAGAACACATGAATAGCTATTCTGAATACAAGAGGTTCCAAAAATTAAAAGCTAAATCTTTACTCTGTTACTAATTTGAAATTATTATACTTGGGGTAACAAGACCCTTACTAATGAGATCTGATTCTTTCTGTTAATTTTTATATTTTCAACGATTTGTGGTAGTTCTTGATTTTTTTTTCTTTTAGAGAGAACAGGGAACATTCATTTTGAGTGCACTGAAATTAGGAAAACTCTACCACTTTTTCATGACAGAGATCAAAATTACATAGAAAATTAAGTATACAAAGAATACATGAATAAATTTGTAAAATTTACATAGAAAATTAAGTATACAAAGAACACATGAATAAATTTGTAAAATTAAGTATACAAAGAACACACGAATAGCTATTCTGAATACAAGAGGTTCTAAAAATTAAAAGCTAAATCTTTACTCTGTTACTAATTTGAAATTAAGAGCTAAATCTTTACTCTGTTACTAATTTGAAATTATTATACTTGGCATCATCATCCAAATTGGCATAGACTCTCAGGAAGGCAGAACAGTTTACAAAAGTCCCATGGGGGTGTAAATAGGACTTAACCTCATCCGTTCTGCCTTAGCCTTTCATTAACCCTCCACATAGGAGGCAAAATTTCCCAGACCCTTTGTCCTATTGTAGATAAGGTCTTCTGTTGTGTGACAAAAAAACACTCTTAAGTGAGGATAAACAACATGAACTTACTTTGCACAAGACATTGGGATTTTACTGTAGTTATTTCTAATGAACCCTATAGTAAGAAGCCACCAAAGTTAGCTTCATTTTCTCACTAGGCACCTGTACACAATGATTTGGCCACCAGAACTCTAATACAATCAGAACTTATTGAAGGCAGTAGTATAATGGAGTAGATAAGTTTACGTGCTTTGAATTCAGCATGTCCATGTTTGAATCTCTATTCTGCCACTTACTAAATATGTGACCCTGTACGAAGTTATTTGAATTCTACAAGCTTCAACGTCCCTCACTGTAAATAGAGATGATAATAACTGTATCCATTAGCATTTAAGTTTATGAGCACTAAATGAGATAATACATAAGAAATGTATAGACAGAACCAAAAATCATCAATATACATTAGCTAGAATTATTTTCATTATTATTAATCAGCAATAAATTAAATCAGCATTTAATTGAGAGACCCACTATGTTCCCATCCTAGAACAAAAGATTAATTCAAATCTCAATCGAAAGATTTAAAGATCCAAGCATTAATAAAAGAATCTCTGACACTGAGAAACTCACAAACCAGTTATGAAAGCAGTGCTCTAACAATTTGCATTATTACATAATGTAGTCAGCTCCAGGACACAAGGGTGTGGGTCTCCTGTGTTCACTGCTATGACCTAAAAAGAATACCTGGCAAATAGTAGGTGCTCAAATATGTATCAGATGAATGAAAGAATACTGGATACTTTAATGAAAGTATGCACAAGGTACTCTGAGAGTATAAAAGAGGAATGGTTTGGATTATAGTAGGAATTCAAATAAAGTAGAAAATCATAAAAGTAATACATAAATACATATCATAAATATTTAAACTTATGACATGAATGTAGGTTTGTTTTTAATCTTTTGACATAAACTTAATTTTTTTCTTTGAGTACACTGATCATAGTTTATTGATTCTTGCATAAACTATCCATAATTCTTCATTTATGATTTCCAGTTTACATATCTTGAGTAAAGCAAAAAAGTAAAGACACTTGTGAAACAATCTGAGGACTGAATTTTTTTATTCCTATGATTTTCCTCAACTTTTTGTAATAGCTTCATCCATGTTTAATTTCACAGGTTTTTAGATGACTTGTTTATATCATCTTACCAAAGCATTTGATAGAGTTTTGTAGAAACAACTCTCTCACCTTCTTCACTCAGCTTTCAGTCTGATTTATGTGAATAATGTCACATCAAGTATAACTGACATAAACAGGTTTGGGGACAAAGACAGCTCCAGTGAGAGCAAATGCACACGGGCATGCTAGTGAGAGCTGCTAGTCATGAGCTCTGTGTATACAGCAGACCTCAGTCAGTATGTTTCACACAGGAAAAGGAAATGTTGGTTAATTCACCTTGTCTGTTAATTGAAGATATGTTAACAAGAGTTTCTAGAATATTGAAACATTAAATCTTCTATAAGGTAACAAAAAGTGGAATGGAAGGATGTGCAGTCATAGAGAATAACACAGCAAAGGCATAGATACATGAGCAAACATGGCCCTCTGGCAAAATTTTAAATAACTTATGACTGAAGCTCAGAGTTGCCATGGAAAATAGCAAAGGGGAAGCTGGAAAGGCATGCAGGAATATAGAGCAGGAGAGGGCTTGTGTACTTGTGGCAAACAACTTCAGATAAATGCTTTTCGGCATGTGTAACCTTTCTATTCTATACATTCCTGCTGCTCCAAGGCTCACATATTTATGTCATCTGCCCAACCTTTGAAAGCATATGATTTGCCATCCCAGCTTAGGACTTGGGAAATCTATGGAGACTTTTCAGGAAAGGACATGGTTAGATTTTCATTTTAGGAAAATAACTCAGATACAACTCTAGAAGATAGCTAGAATGGGGTAGGGAGTGAAGGTGGAGGTAACTGACTGGGAGACATTTGCAGAAGTCTAGGCTGGAAGGCATTAGGGGTAGATTCAAGGCACTGGCAATTAGCGAGAAAGAAGTGAGTTCCAGAGAGATTGTCAAGCTTATTGGATACACAGAGGGAAGAATAGGAAAGAGCCTAGACTGACACACAGATTTCTAACTTCAGTACCAATGGTGATATCCTTCAAAGAGATAGAAAATAGCAGAGAAAGGAAAAAGGGCCCAATTCTGCTGAGTTTGGTGTATCTGGAATAACCAGGTGGGGAGGTGAGATAGAAAATCATAAATAATGTGTTTAGAGTTGATGTAAACAGGGTTGAAAAGTTAGATTCAGAAATCACCACATACAGAGAATAGTTGGAACCAAGCATGTAGGTGAGACACCTCTTGCACGAGCTGAGAAAGAAATTGAACATTGCAGAACACTAGCATTTAAGTGGCAAGTCTAAATATGCTGACTGTGGAAGACAGAGGGAGATGGAGAAGCAGGGGACAGGAGATGGAAGCCTTGGAAAAAACATGACAGAGGGAGGGGCCTGGGGCTGGGGACCCCTGACTTAAGGTATTTGCTTTGTATCAACAAACATTCATTTTGAATATGGAAGGAGCCACAAAAGAAGTGGTATTACAAATATACAGAAGAGAAGAGAAGGAGAAGATGGCATCTAGAACACAGGTAGGCGGAAAATAAGTCGTTCTTTCTTTGAAGAAAGAAGGAAAAATTAATAGTGGGCAAATGAATTTTTAGTTGGACAAGAAGTCTCTGAAACCTGGATCTGGTGACCTTTACTGAAATAGTAGATAAACTCACCTGCTGAGAGAGGTGCAGGGGGTAGAGGCAGGTGGGAGACTTGACAAAAACAGGACAGAATTAGTTTTCGTGAGGAACAAGAGAAGCAAATGGCCCTGGTCACCTGTGAGCTTCCTAGTGAGCTAGCTAGTGAGGACACCACTTGTCCGTAAGGAACATACAATGAACAAAAGGAAATTTGCTCTGTCAATGTTCTGAAGCCTTGCATGAGGGCAGAAGAGCAAATGTTTGGATGGTCCAGGTGTGCATGTTTGCAGAGAATGTACAACAAAAGAATGGAGTGAGAGAGTTGAGAAAGCTACCTAAGCATGGCTCTAGTGTGAACCGTGAGGTCCTGGCTGGATCTGGAAGGAAGTAAAGCCAAGAAATGGTTGATAAGCTGAAAGTGCAGAGTCACTACTGGGGGCAGAGTCACAATGTGCACATGAGCGAGTTAGTGGGCCTGAAGACTGATAGGCATGTCAGATTTATCTGAAGAAACAACAAAAGCTATGATCGTCGCTTCATCCTAGACCATTCTAAGCCAGGATTCCTCTCCAAAGAGCCTAACAGAAGCTAGTTCATTGAAGATTTAATGAGGTGAAACTTAATGGAGCTGGATATACTATTTTTGGAGGTTTTATCTATGGGTTCAATTTTAGATGAGGAAACGGATCCTTAAAGAGGTACTGTGATGTGTTCAAATTTACACAGATAATGAGTCAAGATTAGAACTCCACTCCTCTGGCTCCCAGTACAGTAGTCTTCATTTCAACCATGCTCTCTTAGTCTCCTACACATTGTAACTCCTCTTTCAAAATTTGGACTCTACTCAAATCTGTTGCTTTTGTTTTCACTAGACTTTTAGGCTAATCTTGTACCAAGAAATTAAAAATAAGGGAGTACTGAAGACTCTGGAAATCTGCCTTTTTGCACAAGATTCTTGATCAGTGTAAATTAAATTTTCTTCCTTTAATTCATCCCTTCCTCAATACTATGTGAGCTTAGCCAGAGGACCTCCTTCCAGTTATTTCCTGCATTAACTTTTTATTCTTTTCTCCCTTCAGTTACGGATAGATTAAGCCAACGGAGAAAATCTCCAGTGAGAGACATAGTGTAACTCAAGGAAAAACAATGATGGAAGGCGTGTATACAGTGGTGGAAATGTTGGGTAGAATTAAACTCCTTCACCAATTTTAAGATCTGTTCCCAGTGTTTTGTTAGTCCTGTTCCCTTTAGTGCCCAGAGAAATGTCGCAGGGGGGGGGGGGGGGGGGGGGGGAGGGAGGGGGGACAAATTTTTCTTTCTAGTAACAGAGTTTTTGTGGGGGATTTCAGTGTTAAGTCTTGAAAAGCAATCACAAAAGTGAAGAAACAGTGCCTAAATGCTTACAAATAGACTGGTCTGGGTTTATGTCAATCTGGAATTTGTTCTACTACAGAGTTGTTCTGAGGATGCCTAAAGGATTCCCTTGCATTGCATCTAGGAGTCTCTTTCCCTCCCCTGCACTAAGCTGTTGAGTGGCCACCAGGCTACTGAGGTATTGAACCTTTGTACAGCACTAACCAGCTCTTTTTCCCATTCTAAGGTACTATGTCCTCTGCTACAAGTCAAGCGAGGAGCCCCCAGTGAGCCCTGACACCTGTGCCACCATTTTGGAAAAAGCTGGTCTCGATAACTGGGCTCTTGGAAAAACAAAAGTAATATTTTATGTAATTTTCAGGGATAAAATAAGTAATTATGTTGGATTTACTGAGAATTATAACATCTTACAATGATTGAAAATATGACTTTTTAAGTTACGGGATTTCTAGTTTAAAATAGAGGAAGTAAATTTATACATTCCTTAAGGTTTCCTTTTTCATCAAAATTAAACATTTTTGCTCTTCATAAAGTTTAAAAAATATGAGAAAAAATTGTCTTGGAGATTGATCCAAAAAAGGATAAAACCAATAATCAATATATTTTACTTCAAATGGTATTGAAAACAGATTGATATATTTCCTCTGTGTTATCATCACCAACTATCATCATAAAGCTATAAAGAATCATCATGATATAAATAGAATTCCTGTTTTTCTCTTTTTTTAAATTCTCAAATCTATTTCTATCATAAACTTGAAATTTATTTGGAGTAAAACATTTAACTTTATTACTAGACTTGCTATATGTGCTTGTACATTAATATGTTTATTTATTAGCTTTTAGAATCTATGAGAAATGAGTATATGTAATCCCTTAGAAAATAAAGTGAAAAATTATAACCAATCTTGAATATGGAAGTAAACTAGGTTGCTGTTTGGAGAAAAGATACACATATCCTCACAGCATTACAAGATGGGGAAAAGGAGATAAACAGGATACCGCTGAGCACTAAATGCATCTTAGGGAGTATGAAATGTATCACTGGGGGAGGATAGAGAAAAGAGCCAAGCTAAAGTGAAAAGATATTCATAAATTGACCACTCAAGAATAACAACTACCAGCCTCACTGCAAAAGTAAACCAAAACAAATTTCCATATTGGCAAGTAGATTTTATATTAGTTGTGTCTTGGGAGTGGGAGGTATGGGAGAGAATTTTAATATTATTCAGATGTCCTCTTTGCAATTTAAGGGAGGTTTTTAAAATATGTCTATCTTAGACTGAGTGTCTTCCATAATCAGTAATCCATATTTAGTCTTTAGTAAGGGGATATTTTGGCATAAAAAATGTGTATTTTGTCCACACATTTTCTTTTAGATGATGAATTTTAAAAAGACGAATTTCATCAGACTGAAATCTCATGATTTATGGTCTGAAACACATGTCTAACTTCAAATGGAGTTTTAACTTGTAAAAAGGCCCTTTGCAGTTCTGGTTCTGCATGATATTTAAGTAGCATTTTAAAGCTATTTGTATTTTTCCACTTCACCTTTTCCAACTCATTAACATGGATAAAAGTATTTAATATAGGAACATTTATAATTCCATGCAAAAAAATGATGACCTTTTTAAACAGATTGAATTTTAAATGAATTGTCAATAGCAGAATGGACTAAATATATTAACATCTAGAGTACTGTAGAAATTAAAACTGAATTAAATCAAAACCTGTAATGCTGAACTGTTTGCCTATGGTTCCAACCTTTCAAGTAATGGAACACTGAGAGAATTCTACAGTCAGGGTTACCCCAAGTCTCATGACTCAGCCATAAAATTTGAATTTAAGTGACTTTCTTGGTGGATTCCATAAACTCTTTGAGATGAATTTTATTAGTAAATTTGCTATTAAAAATATAACCTTTTTATTTCCTTGGGGAAGAGAAGTACAGAACTGAAAACTTAAATTAGAATATACCAGGCTTTCAAAGTCCTTCCTTACTCTGATTCATGGTGATTTGAAAATAATCAAAATTTTAGAATAATCAAAAGTCAATCCTCCTTTTTCCATGGCAGCCTTTGGGTTAGTGAGAACACTTAGTTAAATCTGCTGGTGTCCTGTCTCTGCCTTATTGCCTCCACTGACAACACTACCAGCCCCAAAGGACAGTGACCCTGCCTTGTTCATCTTTGTATTCCCAGCAGATAAGTACATATAGTAGGTCTCAGTAACATTAGATGAATGAACTGATAGAATTATGACTGTTCTCTGTCTTGCAACTAGGTTTGTAAGATTTTTTAATTTGGGAAATATAATTGTCTTTATAAAACAAAAGGCACAAAAACTAGCTTACCACAGAATATATGATGCTGGGATAACTTTACTAGCTTACCCCAGAATAAGAGCTCAACACCCCCTACTCTAATTAGTTCATCCAACAGAACCTGAAATTATCTGTTATAAACAAACAATATGATTGCATCTTCTGTGTTTCTTCTCAAAGAAAGATTTTCTTCAAGCGTAAAAATCTATGCTATCAAAGCAACATCCAGGCCAAAGAAGCAACAGACAGTGATTTTCAAAATCTAAAATGATTTAGAATGCAGACTTTTCTTCAAAGCATAGCACACATCTGTATGCCGTGGTTTTATTTGTATTTTATTTTAATTCTTTAAGGTGTTCCTTAAATATTATCATGTGGAACAGTTAAATCTAATGAGAAAAGAAGCCATTGACAAACTTATTTTGATTCAAGCTTGTGTCAGAGCATTCTTGGGTTCAAGAAGATACCAAAAAATACAGGAGAAAAGGAAAGAAAGCGCAATAATCATACAGTCAGGTAATCACTCAGATACTCTCACAGTGTAACAAAGCATAATGTTATATTTAGGTATAGACACAAAAATCAAATGTTATAGTACTTCTTATAGTCAAGCCTCCAATTCTTATGTAGCTTTTTGTTTAATTCCAGACTGTGTTGCCTTAATACTTTCTTTATACTAAATCTAAATCAGATTGTTTTAGTGATTGGCACTTTTAATATTTGAATAAATGTTTTGTTTTAAATAATTTAATTTTAAAATATTTTGTCAAAGATTAATGAAACACAATTGACTTATTGTGCAAGATATGGCAAGTGATAAAATTAATTACAGATCTCAAGAATAATACTATTGTAACTCATAGGACAATAAGATGTTTTCTACTTTACTCCAAAGGTTACACTTGCCATAATTTTTGACAACTTAATTAAATCTTATTTTGTTAAAGGGCATCCATTTCTTTCTGTTAACTCTAGTGAAATAATATTTATAACCAAGCTTTACTTCACAAATTTTTATTAAAATGTACTAATAGACTTTGGATTTTGCTTTCTATTTTTCTATAAGAAACTAAATTTAGATAGAGCTGGGCATAGCTTGGTACAGTATCTTTCAAAATGCTTTGACTGGATACTATAGTAAAAAAATATTCATTTTACTTTGTAACATGATATACACACATACTACAAGCTATATATTCTGATATTTTCTATTCTCGTCTATTCCATTTCACTTTTAGATGATAGATTTTACCTATTAAGTTAGCATTATATCATGACTAATGATTTGCAGCTTGCATTCTGAAGAACACCCATGTAGTGGGCAGAGTAGCTAACTGACACTCAAGAGATTCATGTTCTAGTCCCAATTCTGTCAATCAGAAATGGGTCATCATCATCTCTTCTGGTATCTTAAGCCCTTAGCTTCTCACAAAAACATCAAAATGCAAACCTGATAATTTGGGATCTAATCCTTTATCTACAATTTCAATTTCTGAAAAAGGATTTCTAATAATTTATTTGACAATCACACATATACTAATAGGAAGAGAGGCTATTTACGGTCCTTTATTCATCCCACTTAGTAAAAACATACTGTTTTCCTGAAGAAATATTCCTGTGTTTGATTATGAGATGTTGCTCTGACATGGGGAATGTTATAGAATACATACATGCTTTGTATTAACTTTCTAAATTTTTAAAAAGTCTATTCTGAATTCCAAAATATATCTGACCCCAAGGATAATTGGTCAAAATGTCCAAAACACATGACAAAAAAAGAAATATAATTATTAACAAATTTTAAGCAAATGAGCACACTTTGTCATCAACTTTGCTCATATCTATCATTTTGGTTTCATTTTTGTATTGCTCTTAGAAGGAAAAGTTCTTTCATTATTCTATTGCTATAGCTACCCATATAGAAGAGTCTTATTAGTTAATCCCATTTTATTTAATGAAGCTGTTTTATTTGGAATTTTTATTTCATTTCCCTTTTTTGACTTTTATGGTCAGAACCACCTGTTTCTATTTGTTTAAATAATATCATTTTATTTCTTATAATTAGCATTACTCTGAGCCTTTTATGTTTCAGCTGCAAGAGGACATCTTGTCAGGAAGCAAAGAAAAGAAATTGTTAACACGAAAAATACAGCAGTAACAACCATTCAGACTTACAATCAGGAATTTGACTACAAGAAAATTTTTGAAAATAAAAGGTATAATGATGTTCATTGTGACATATAGAGTCTTTCTCATACCTAGCCAGATTCCTGGTACTGACACATTAAATGTCAGTGAACACCCAGGGTCCACTTTTGTGTTCGTTATTTTATTTGGGAGTGTATTGACATCACACTGATAACCAAGCTTTCCTTCTCAAGGTTTTCCTTCCTTGGCTTTCCCCAGACTGCTTTCTACTATTCTGCCCCTGATTCTGAGTGTCCTTTACTAATACCTCCTCCTCTCCCCACATTTGAATCCTCTTCCACATCTAAATGTGTCCCTGGGCCCTCTTGTTCATTCCCATAACCACTGGCCCCTAGGTCATAATCACCAACTACCCATCCTTCTGAGCTTTCATGTCTGTAATTCCAAATGCATATTAGCAAATCCACTTGAATTTTATTTATTCTGCAGGCTTTACGCTAGGCAGTGGGGGCACACCGGTACATGAAACAAAACCTTTATCCTCAAATTTCTCATAGTATTCTGGGAAAAAAATGACCAATAAACACATGACTCTAGTAAAGTGGGTTGATTCTGATATAAAAATATAAAAGTGGAGAAGTGGAAGCGAGGAAGAAGAAACCCTGCCTTGGCTGGTAGTGATTAGGGGAAGGGAAAAAAATATTTAGAGTTTTGCCTAAGTGGTGAAACTTGAATCGATCAAAGATGTTGTCCAATTAGTTGTTATCCAGGAAGATAAAGATCATTCCAACCCCAACCTCAGTACCTCTCTCTTTAACATCAGAACTGGCCATCGTAAGGGTGAAAGAATGAGATGGCTTCCTTCTCTCCGACATACCCACATCTAATCTTCTCTTGCCCCTGCTGCCAATAGTGGTCTCATAGATGGTCTCATAGATGAGTTCTCACCTTCTTCCCTCACGTTCACCCACACTCCTCATTTCCTTATTTGACAAACATGAATGGTTATCTGAAATGTATAGGCACTTGGCATTTTCAGTTTTTCTGTGTATTGTGAGACCTACATATATGCTCTTGTCATTGTCTACAAGGATCCAAATGATTTGCTTCTCGTTGTTACTGGCTATGAAACAGTCCAGCAACCTCAAAAAGATCACAAGACTGCCTCAGGAGCAGAAGGGTGGATATTACCTGTGATTCCTGTACTTCAGGAGTCTGAAGTACAGGAGTCTGGGAGAAATCTAAACTGGTTACAAATGGAAGCGAGATGAACTAAGTTTAATTCTTCTAGAAATTACTATATGTAGAATTTAAATTATTATTTGGATTTATTATATTTAATAAGGATGTCGATATTCACTTAGATACTGATTTGTTACTACCTTTCTTCTGAGGATACCAGAGATTTGCTTTCAATTTAGCAGATACTTATTAAGCATCTACTGGGCATGAGATCCATCTTGGGGCACACAAATGTGGATGAGAAACTATCACTACTAGTTTAGGATGGAGAATTTGATATTTACTTGGCTAACTGTCATAGAAAGTGGACCACAAAGTCAGACATAAAAGAAATACAAGCAAGGAGTCAAGAGAAGCTCAGAGGAAGGCAAGAAGAAGATTAGGGAGTGGAGGGGGTATGGGGGAGGGGGCTGACACACACCTTTCTGGAGATCTGCAGGCTGGTGCTCTCAGACCTTTACAACTTCTGAATTCCCTTTTCCCCCAGCTACCTGTAGCTCTTGTTTTTGCTTTACCCTTCACTGACAGAGCCCTGATTTGTGACCCAGAAAACCATCTAGAAGCTAGAGAATGATCTAGTCCTGCAGGCCTCTCCAGCAGGTGTCAGGGGAGATCTCCAGCCCTTCAGGGCTGAACTCTAAAAGGCTGATCTTCAAAAGCATCGTAGCACTTGGGCTTTAGGTACTTCAAGTGCTGTGCTAACCACAGGCATAGAGTGTCCTGTAGCCTGAATCCAGGCATGTAACTGTTGTGAGAATTTCAGCACTGTACAGCAAGATGTCACCAATAAAAAGCATTTAGAGTATCAAAAAAAACTTATAAATGGATTTTTTGGGATGTAGTCAGAAACTGCATGTATATCTTCTCTCATTAGTTGTCTTTTGAGTAAAATAGGCATTCTTTGGAAGAGATGTATTATGGAGGAATTCAAAACACTGACATAGCCATTTATCAAAACTATAGGGATATTTTGTTCCCTACCTAGTTTTCCGACCGATCTGACAGGAATCTGTGATGCCACCTGTATGAGCTTAGGGATGGCATAGTAGGCCTAGGAGTGGCCAATAGAACAAAGAAAACGGTGTCTGAGTAGCTTTTTCCAGTTTTGACTCAAAGAAGAGTCCTTCTTCTCAAACAGATTCAAAAAAACCCAAACTCTCACATGGGTTTCCTGGCAAAGGTGAAAAGTTTTAGGCTAAAGCCCCCTAAGTAGTAGGGAGAAGTGTTAGCATTTCAAGTGTCAGGTTATGACATTTTGATTCTACCTTAACACCTTTTTCTTGGCTGTGTTGCTCTTGTAAGGGTTTTGTCCCTGGCCAAAAAAAAAAAAAAGCATAGTGAAGACCTTATCTCCAAGTTAAAGGGAAATTATTTTGGAAGTATATTGGCAAAGTAACAATTTTGAAATTTTGGCCAACATATTACAAGATTATGAACTATAGCAAGGACATTGCTTTTCCTTTAATTTTACAAGATAGTTCCTGTGATCAGCAAACTTAGTGCTTATTAAAGTACAGTATGTCAGTGTAGTGAATATATTCTTCTTACTGATCTCAAAACTAGGTATATTTTCCACAACATATCATCACTTTTTTTTGAAAAGGATATTTTGAAAAGATTAAATTCCTAGAATTTTGATATCTCATGAAATGAAAAAATGGTTCTTCATATGCCAGAATATTTCTTATTCTAAGTAGAATCTGGTTTTCTCACTATTTGAGTAACCATTGCAGTTCTCACCAAAGAGAAAATTTTGAGAAGTACTTGATTAACATGAAATGATACATTTTTATTTTGAGTTTTCTTCGTTTCATTTGTCTTTCTCTCGCCATTATGTAGCATGTAACCACTGCCAGAAAATAAACTCTACTTTAGTACCGTATATTCAGATATAATCTGTTTTACACAGGGAATCTTTTGTGAAGAAACAAACAGAAAATGCAGTCTCTACTAATGAAAAAGTCAATTCAGCTCCAAATAATAAAGGGAATACATCTGTAGTGAAGACTTCTACTTTCAAAATGGAAATGGAAGCCACTAATGCTGTTGAGAGTAACAACAGAGGATATCACACTCTGAAAAAAATGAATAATGTGTATGGGGAAGAGGCTAATCAAGAATTGAACCTTGTAGGGGACCCTTGGGCAGAAGAAAGCCCTAAACAGAAATCTATCAAAGACCTGGAAGACAACAGTAAACTAAGGAAAGTGGAGAAAGAAGAGGCTGTGAATTATTATCAGAGGTACACAGAGGAAAGGATTTTTGAACAATCAAAAGCAGCATATCTAGACAGAAAGGGCATATCAGAAAAGCCAAGCTACCCAGGGCTTTGGTTAGCTGAGAATGAAACTTCTTTTAAAAAAACTTTAGAACCTAATCTTAGCCAAAGGTCAGTTTATCAAAATGCAAATGGTAAGGAAAAAGAAAAGAAGACATCTGTAGTTACCCAGAATGCACCGATATGCAGCCAGGAGAGAGGCCATCTGAGGCATGGGACAATCAAAGAGAGGCAAGCTGAACCAGTAGTACAGACCCAGGAAGAAGAAGATAAAGCAGCAGTGTTCATTCAGAGCAAATACCGGGGTTACAAGAGAAGGCAGCAGTTAAGGGAAGATGGGATGTCTTCTTCTTTTGAGAATCAAAAGATCGTTACAACACCAGCAGAAGTAACAAGAAACACTCCCAGTTTGTATTCCTACCCCACAAAACATGAAGAAACCTATAATATTAAGATGTTGGATAACAAAGACGCAAAAGCAATTTCAGAAAAGGAAGCACGTGATTTAGCAATTTTTTCAAAACAGGTATGTGTATAAACAAATTTCTTTACTAATAAAACTATCTGAGATCTATAAAATAGCAGAATTAAACTAATAGTTAACTGTATATTGTTTCATCTGTGGTTTGTGAGACTACAAACTGTTTTAATAAACTATCTCAAGGATTGTGCTATTCAAACATCCATGAACTTTTCACCCACTTTACTATGATAAAAATCATATAAAGTGTAAAATATGATAGAAACTTTGTGTAGTGAAAGATACTAGAGACAGGTTTATACTGCGTACTAAAATGCTGAGAATTGACAGTGCAAAGTTTGATGTTCCTGTGAGCGTTTGATCAGAGCTCATAGAAAAATTTTTTAAAGTTTCTAAATCTCTTAAAGTCTATGCTTTCTCCTTTTCTCAAATTTGAGAAGACATAATTAGGCATCAAGTTTAGCTCTGTAGCCATACTGAGTCAAAAATGCATTGAAGTTGAAAGTTTGCATGCTACATCATGACAGTGAGCAGTAATGGACAATAAGGAATCACAAAGCAGAACCACAGAGAAAAACTCCCTTTTGGAGGACATCTCGTGCTGGTAGTAGGCATGTTTCAGCTGTTTCTAGAGGGGGAATAGGAGGCAGCAGGTTTTAGGGCTTCTGATGATATATACATGCACCTCTGATAAATTAGTTCTGTGGACAGGTCACAGGAACCAGCTCCTGAAAAATGCCAATTCCAGTTCCTCCTTTCCCTTTCTAGGTATTTGACCTTAAGAAAATCACTTTATGTTTCAGTACTGTTATTTCCTACTGCATAAAGTGAAGACTTTTAATTAGGCAACCTCTAAAATATATGAACTGCCATGGTATCCAATGAAGAAATATCATAATGGTTAATTCAAAGAAGGATCGTCTAACACTCCTAAGCTCTGCTTTTTGTCTCTGATGGTGACTGAGCCTATGAGAAAGCACACCAACTGCTCTTAGACTCCTCCATAGTGCTAGAGGTGTGGCCCAGACATCTCCAACTTCCAACTATCAGTAGAGATCTACCATTGATTAATTTACCTAGCCCCTTCCTGTTCTATTTTTTTAAGCACATGGAAATAGTGAGTTTAATGTACATGTGATCCTTCCTTTTCCTGGTGCACAGATATTCTAATTCCAAAGACCAATCAGGGATTAGAACCCAGATCCGCTATGCAACAGAGACACTAAGGAGATGTAGAATTACCAAGCCACGCACCTACAGCTGGCCAATAACCCTATGGGAGTAGGTTCAACACTCCATAGAGACAAAGCTAGAGGCAGAGAAGTAGGAGCCCTACGTTCAACCTATCAGGACAGTCATGTTATCAGAGCTGAGATGCAGACAAGAAAGAGGCAGAGGAGCAGAGTAGAAAGAGAGGGCCCAGGAGAGAGTAGCCCTGAAGTCAGGCTAAGAAGACTGGAAAGGAAGGGAAGGAGCAGCAAAAGGAGGTCCACAGGGTAGAAGCAGAAAGGCAAACACAGCAGAGTGGCAGAGACAAAAAGCCAGATCCTAGGAACCCTGAAGAGGAGTTGATCAAGATAGAATTTGCACATAACCCAACATGTTTGGCAGTGTTTAGTGAAAAATGTGGGGTGGGCAAGTAACTCAAAGGTGAGGTTGTGTCAGGTGAGGACTTTATTAGACCTTGTCTCAAGAGTCAGGATGGGCTCTGGAGAGAAACATGAGAGTGCCAGAAGTGCTGGTAAGGAATTTATAAGCTCCCAGTGTATCTGCAAAGCTACCTGAATGCTTTTCCTTGCTTTAATCTGACACATGGACTTCTTTTTAGATATCAAAGTTATCTGAAGAATATTTCATTCTGCAGAAAAAATTGAATGAAATGGTTTTGTCACAACAACTGAAGCCACTTTATCTGGGTGTCTCTCCCCATAAGCCAATTAATAGACGGGTTTCTTCTCAGCAGTACCTCGCAGGTAAAAAATAATCAGTAGTTAGAACTTCCTGCAAGGGAAGAAAATTCCTGATATGTTATTATTTATTAGTGTTCCACCTTTATTCTATAGCAGATCTGAAGTGACTATGTTCTGTCTTGGAGAGAACCTTTATTCCATTTCATCTCTTATAAGCAGATACAAATTTTTTTGGAATGTTTCTACCTACCTCCTACCTTCTCTGACTTTATTCTCCTCCTCTTTTTATTTTTATCTTTTTTCCCCTCATATACACTTTAACTAGAACTTGGCATATGACACCAAAATGGAATTTAAAAGGGTGGGCTAAGGTGCTGGTTTGGTAAGAAATAGCAAACAAGTGAAATATATCTATTCCTTTTGTCAATGTCTGCAATCTTGAGTATAGAGTGTGGAAGATACAAAACACCAATACGTAAGAAATGACTATTATATTTTCTTCTAATCAACCTCAGTTACACTCTGTCCCCATCACACTAAATTTGGGGGGAAATTCAATCTCAGTCATTTTTAGACTTCCCTTCCCCAGGGCTGTGCAAAAATCCTAAGGCCTTAAGCACCTCCGAAGGATCAGGTAGAGCCTGTTGTCACTGGTCATTTGCCCATGAAGTTACCATTAAGACACTCATCATTCCAGCTGGCCTCCATGACCCCTTCAAGTTGGGGAGGCCCTGCTGCTCCTACCCCCTGCAGACGGAACCTGGACACTGGCGAGTCTGAAGTCTTGACTTGTCCACACCCCCTCCAGGTGGCCATTCTGTTTGTAGTCTCATTACTTCCCCCAGATGTTGTCACTAAAAGGTTCAGGAGTCCCACAGCTCAAAGCCCTGTTGACTCTGCCTCCTAGCAATCTGCATTTATTTCACCTTGCTTTCTTGGAGACCCTCCACTCTCTCACTACACCCCCAGGATGCCTGACATCATCTCTGCAGTGACTTTGGCTCTTAACCAAAGAGAGAAGAACTGCTGGCCTCATGAAGCTTCTGATCTCTTCCCTCAAAAATCTCTGACACAGAAAAATACTAAGATGAACTTGGCTATTTGCCTGATATGGGAGGAAGGAGAAATAGCTTAAAGGTTCAGTCAATTATTCTGCCACATTGTTTCAAGTCAAGAACTGTAGTGAAGCTGTCCACAAAAGGTTTTTCAGTGCCCTTCACCCCTGCTGTCATCCTGCTCTCCGGCTCTAGCCTAGAGCCTCTTGTGAAGAAGAGAACCTAGCAAGTTAGAGCCCAGAGGCATATTCCATTAGTTGCTGCAATGGCCTGTGCCGAGGGAGCATGCTGGTGGGGCCAGAGTATGGGGAAAGCAGGGACTTAAGGTTCCTTTTTGGTCACATAAGTGGCAGCACTGGTGAGTGTGGGACAGGGAGGTGCAGATGGTGTGGGGAAGTAAGAAAAGTCAGGAAGTTTGCCCCAGTCCACAGCCAAAGAGGAGAGGTACTGGGGTTGGGAGGGGCACTGCCAGGGCCTTCACTTTTGAACATCTCAGAGACTTAAAATGGGCCTGGGAAGTGGCAGAATTTTATTAGAAACTCAAATTAGTTCACTGTATTATTGAATCTTCTATTGTTTTGTTTTTGGTTTTTGGTTTTTAATGGACCTAAGAAGAATATCAGAAACTAATTCTTAGCTTGTGTGGAGAAGATTGTAACTCAGAAATATTTCTTTAACCCTTCAGGTTTAGAGAGAGGATCTTTTTGTTCTCTGTATAGGAAAAGGTTATATATTCTACTACACTTGTTTAAGACTAAGTTGGCGAACATCTAAATTGTCTCATGTCCTTAAAAATAGCAGAGAAAATGCCTGGGAGAGGACCTGATGTGGCTTAAAGACACGGAGGGATCTGGGTGGACCTAACAACACAGAAGCAAGAGCAAGGGAAGACATTGGGAGATGCCGTCCAGCGACCATAGACTAGCCAGGACAAGTTATGCAGCAGATGCCAGTGATTAGCCAAGAATGGCAGCAGAAAAAATGGCCTCTCCCTATTAATGCCATGAAGCTGGAGAAGTCCCCTAATCCCAGCTCCTAACTTAGATGGTGGTGGAGAGGAGAGGGTCCAAAACCTAAAATGAGTAAGTCCACTAAGAAGACACTAAGAACATTGAAGGCAACTGAGTTCAACTAGAATTTCTTAGAAATAATTTAATGCTAGAAAGTAGAAATGAGTTCTAAGAGGTAGAAATTAAGTCTAGTTTTAGGAAAATTAAGTTATATATTTTTACGCCTGAATTGTTTCCTACTCTTTAACAATACTTGCTGAATTATTTGGATGTTATTTAAATATCAGAATAGGAACAGATGGAAAGGTGGATGCAAATAATCATTGGGCTACTTTTAGAGAAATTCATCCCCAATATTTGTGTCTATAATCTATGTTCATACATTTTGACAATTTATGCTTTTTAAAAAATCTTTGAATGGCTTATAGCTTATAAAAATTCATATACTTCAAAGAATTCAAACTGAGGTCATGAATCGGGCCAAATATTGCTTGGTCCATGTTTAATCCCTGCAGGCAACTGAGTTTAACTAGAATTTCTTAGAAATAATTTCTAAGATCCATGATTGTATCTTTGGTTATGCTGCTGTAGGCAAGCCCCATCCTAAATTTCAGACTGTAGTTTTTGTTTTTTGCTTTTTTAATAAGATAGCCTATGTGTGCCAATCTCCTGACCACATTTAAACCAAGGATTCTTGCCACCAGTTTCATATTCCTCCAGTTCTAGTGATTTTTCCACAGTTTTCATTATACAGTTTACAGTCATCACCAATTTCATATGGGAATTCAGGTGCACACTGTTGGAGGGAGTAGATTAACAGTACCACAGTGTGCATTTACATGTTATTTCATGCATATTAGTTTTTGTCTTTCTTAATAGATTCTCAACCCTTTGCAAGCTGGATCATGTAATGCCCTACACACTCATTTATCCACCACACAATAGACATTCAATAACTGCTTAATAATTAAGTGAAAAGATGCTTAATTTCTTTCAAACATAGTAGAGCTAAGTACTGTGTCCATAGAGTAAGGATTTTAAAGTTTGGTTTTTATCAAAACAAAGGGTGTAATGCTGCATTCTTTAAATGTTTATTCATTTTTATAATTGTCTGCTTTTAAACTCCTGTCAGAAAAAAAAGGTCTTATCATAAGTAGATGTCCTGTCTCCTTAATCAAAATTGCTAACCACAGAATTTAAAACTTTGCCTTGCAAGTAACTGCCCTCGCCTACAGAGGAACAATGCTGGCAGATTTAGCTGATGTGCTGAATTTCAACAGGCCACCACTGCACTGTTGTCCTTTATGGCAAACCATGCCTCCCCAAGAGATATTTCATTTGGAAAACAAAAATCAAGCTCATTTACAAATAATGCTGTAATTTAAATAGCCTAAGGACCATCTAAACTTTTATCTTATGCCTCTCAAAACTCTGCAGCCATCTTCTAATAATTGCTACATACAAGAACTTGGTAAGTCTCAGTTGGATTATGTAAAGTGGCCTAGAAAAGCTTCTCACCTATTCTAAAATAAACAAAAAGCCCTAGACAATTAAATTTGTCAAATGAATCATAACAAACAGCAATCTAATTTTATAAGGAACTCTTTCTGAGATATATTTTTAAATGTGCAAAAGTGCCAAGAGTAAAATAATGTCCAAATGAAAGCTGATAAGCTAATTATGAAGTTTAAAAATAAAATAAAATAAATACATAAACTACTTATCTGTGTTAATTGTTATAAATTGAAACAAATATGAGCTAACTACATCTATATTTTCATTGAGAGAAATACAGTATAGGGTATATGTAACTAGAGCATGGTTGTTTGATCATAGATCCTAATAAATGCTGCTGTATTCATAAATATGCAGTGACATCACAGCATTGCATTATTTCTCTCTGTAAAGTGCTCCTTTTTGGGGGATGTTTCTTTTTATTATGGCACACCTGGCAATTTGTGTTGACTATTGTGAAGAGGGAAAAAAGATTAATTATAGTACAAATAAACCCTGGTAACATAGAAGCATATTCTCTTTCTCATTTTACAATGACTATTCAACAGGCTATAATTTTTTAATGGGCTGCAAGGTTAAAAAATTAGAATGGTAAAAAGTATTTTTTGCTTCATTTACATAATATCATCAGTAAATTCAACACTAAATCAAAGCAATCCCTTACCATTCACACATAGAGTTGATCTAACAAAAGTGCTTTTATGTTACTTTCAGAGGAAAAATAGCAACTTTCTATTTATTTTTAAATTTTATGTCTTTTAGATTCATACAGTAATCTTAATATGTTCAGTTATAATGGTGCAGAGTTGATACACTTTATTTTTTTAGGTTTCCCTATCATTTTACCATTTTATGCTGGTACCTAGAAAGGCATTTTGCAAACTATCTAAGAATACATCTCCTCATGTATCTATAGACACACACGCATGTGAAAGTCAGGTAATTGAAATAATATTGGCTTATATATTTTACAGGAATGTTTTTCACTAAAAGTAGAAACTAAAGAGATTTCAGAAGTTTATTGCTTCCTACCCAACATACCTCTGGTGAACATGCATCTTCCTATGTTTATTTGCTACTCTTCTTTCTTCATAAGAAGTAATACTAATTCCCCAAAACTCTTATAAAAACAACTTTCAATGCCCAAAAAGAAATGATTTTATTCACAACCTTACATACTAATTATATAAAAGCAGTTTGCTTTACATAAATTTACACTATAAAATATAGATTCTGACAAGTTAATTGAATTAGTCCAGAGAAAACACTAAGCTCTAGATGGAAACAGATACATTTTCTGCATCCAAATTATTTATCCTCATCTCATAATCTTTATCTGTTCTAAGCTACAATTAGCATGGAAGCAAAAAGCTATGAACAATACTTCCTCCCAACTTTCCACTAAATATTTGCTAAAAATGCAAGCACACACATGACCAACATCAACAACACTAGAAACTGAGTTTTTAAAAAATTTATTGAA